GTCTTAGGGCCGTAGTGCGGTAGTGACACTTTTCCGGACATGGGTCCCTATACTCAAATGTTTTCTACTGTTGCACTGAATAACCCCTAGAAGTTTGATCCCATAGTTCTGAAACACCCTGTATATATACATATATATATATATATACACAATAACATCGTTTTACTTTAGTAAATTCAGTTTACTAATTCGATCACGTGCTATATAATTCGACGGAGATCATTCTCCTCTTTGGAATTCGCGGAGGCGCCACAAATATCCGACAACCAAATTAATGCAAATTAATTCAACGGAATAGAGATTGGCCCGGCGCCCGACTATGATTACGTCAATTCGCGTCACAAAACTTTCTGAGCTCGCGAGTGTTTAAACAGCACGTGCTTCCTGTCGCCAGAGTTATGCTCGACGCTGGTCTGGGTGTTGAACTCGTCGAGCGTCCTGCAGGAGCTTACGCTCACGTCGATCGCGGTGTTCGCGGCCATCAGCAGTCGCGACGACGCCGTGAATCTCACGAAGAATCATCTCAAGTATCACTTGGTCAGTTTGAGCGTCATTAGCGCCTGCATCGGCATAACCGGCGTGCTCAACTTCGAGCCGGAAGTCTGCGTCTTTCTGGCCCAAGAGATCTCGCACAAGTACGGCATCTTCGTCAATTCTCTGAGATGTTTGCTGGCGATCACGTCCTTCCTCGGCTTGCTGGTCGCGCTTTTCAGAAATCTCTGCCGTCCACCGACCTCCGAGCTGCTCAAGTCGGTCTCCGATTTGTCCGAAGCGAGCTCAAAGAATTCGTCGGGAGCGTTCGAGTGTCACCCGCATCATTGGGATCCCTCGAGCGGATCGTGCACCAGCGGTTCGACCAATAGCAGAGCGTGCTTGAGGAAGAAGAAGATACAGGTGGATGAGGCCAGCGGCAGATCTACCGCTTACAGCATCCTCTTTGTCTGCTACGTTTTCGAGCATCTACCTATTCTGGTAAATTATTTAACATATAATAAATATTTAATAGTAACATATATATTTAATATTTAATATTTAAATCAACGTGAAAACCAATGAGCCTAAGATCCTGGGTGAAGGTGGACGTGAAATTAAATAACAGCCAATGCATTTAATATTTAATATTTAATAGTAACATATAATAAATATTTAATAAGTAAATTTATCTATTATTTGTATTTTTAGTATTTTTATTTTATTTTTCTCTCGTCTTTTATTATGTTATAAATAGTTATCTACTTGTTTTTCGCAATTTGTTATTATTGTTTTGTCATTTCTTGGGATTTTCAATGTTGCTATCGCAGCGTAAGACCGGTTTCCGCGCTGATTGACTCTCGGTGATGAATTAAACAGACTAAAAAAATGACTTGCACGTTATTAAACGTGACGCGCGATGTTTGCGCGTACACACTATTATAATTGTTAAATGTCTTGATAACTTGACAACCACATCGTCTATCTCGAGAGAGAAAACCTTGTTCCTCATCTCTTTATCGAATAAGTTTTTACTTACGTAATTTGCAATTTTCAAATTATCATTTATAATTGAAAGTTATAAAATTTGCGATGTTGTTGTTAAAAAAGAAACATTGTAAATTTATCAAGAATTAAAAAAGCAACGGAAACGCTTATTTATAAATATAACGAGCAAATTATATATCTACTTATTTTTCTTATGCTTATTTTTTTCTTAAGCTAATTGCTATTACGGCAATCCGGGAAACGTGTTTACGGGAAAATTGCTCCGATCATTAGCATAATCTTGTTACGACTCACGTCGAAGGTCCGGAATATTGTGAAACCGATCTAATTTATGTAAAATCGTTAAGTTCAGTTTATTTGCTATCAGAATTAATGCATTTTTTTTTTCTATGCGATTGGTTTAATTATTACTTTCGACTCGAAATCTTTTAACGAACCCCGGCGACGGTAATGGTCGGCTCGTGGTTAAGATTTATCGAGTTGGTCTCTGAAAAGAAAACAAATGCGGCGTTTAAACGGTCCTCGATTGTGGTTAGACCCTCCGCGAACGTTTTTTTTTTGTTTTGGAGAAGTTGAAAGTTTTTTTGTTTTTTTTCAAAACATATTAAAACACTTAATTTTTGTACGTAGCGTCTCGATCGTGAGAGATTGTTTCGCAATATTCTCGAAATTACGTGCGCCAAGCCAACCGTGACAATGTTATATAGTTAAAAGTGACCGATCCAATTTATGGCACGCCCTCGGTTATGCTTCTCGACGCGGCAAAAACCAGAGAATATTACGCCAGTTCTTTTTTTTTTTTTTTTTTTTGACGCCGGCGTCGGTCATTAACATTTTTTTAAATTTCCATTAGGATAGAGAATTTCTTGTTAGTCAGGCGTGATATCTGTGAACAAAAAGTAAATAATAAGACACGAAAAAAGTAACACGTACTCTAATAATTAACTATAAAAATTATACATAAATTTTTTATTTATCGTAAATCTCTTACAGAGAGAGGACGGTTTCTTTAAAATTTAATAATCCTATTTTTTAAATATATTTTCCTATTTGTTGTATTCAAACAACATAATTTTTTACATAATCTTTTGTTGAAAATTTTCATATTATTTGATGAAAACATTACGATTATTAATTATTCAAAAAATAATTTGTTTCAACCAAATAATATTTTATTTAATAATATTTTACGTAATATTATTTAATATTTTATTTAATATTATTTTATATTTAATAACCTAATAATATCGCGCACGGTACTTTTTTTAACTAAATTGCATACAATTGCATTGTGATAATTTGACAATTCTTTGATCTTCAAATCACGATTGGTCAGTTTTAGAATTTGTTACAATTGTAGCACAAACAAACATCGTCTCCCGCTTTACATTGAAATATTAGTTTAGCATTAACTTTTGGTAAGAGTCAGTAGCTGAATGGGGCAAAACGTTGCTTGTCAAACGGAGGGGAGGTCTTCGGGAGTTTCCAGGTTTTCGAAGACCTAGTTGAAATGATTTTTTACTAGAAATTAATCTTAGGATAAAACCTAGGATACACTTCGAAAGAAGCTTAGGCAAAGATATTAAATATCCTAATGAACCCAGTTTTTGATCAGTATCCAATGTTTAATCGGTTGTTAAAAAAGTATTATAGTAAGGTTTTGATCATAAAAATTAGTCCAAAACACAATTTTGGTATAATAATTATTCCGACATCTATACACCTCCTTTCGGACTAATTTTGATGACCAAAACCTTACTATAATATTTTTTTAACAAACTGATCAAAAACTGGGTCCGTGACGGTATAAGGATAAAAATGTGTATTTTTTTATATAATAATTATAAATTTTATATAATTATTATATAATTATATATAATATATAATATATTATATAATTATTATATAATTATTATATAATTATTATATAATTTATATATATTTTTTTATATAATAATTATAACGATAAAAATGTGTATTTTTTTATATAATAATCATAAAAGCAATATTGTCAAATAAATTATTTTATTTAAAATAACGTAAAATTAATTCTTCATAAAATTGTCGATAATATAGTTCAAGGACCAATACAAAGTTGAATACAATGTGTTTGTGTATAAAGCAGCATCTCTTTATTTATTAGATAAAAAAACGTTTCGATCCTCCTGTTTTGGATCTTCTTCAGTGGCAACGCGATTGACACCAATTGTACATCAGTCAATTTAAGACGATGGATTAAAACATCAATGTTAATCGTGTTACCACACGAGAAGAAGATTTAAAACAAGAATCGAAACATTTCAGCTATTTACTAAAGAGATACTGCTTGATATACGACCATCTTTTATTCAACCTCGTCTATTGGCTCTTTCACACTATATTATTTTATTCAAATCAAACGTATAAAATCAATAATTAGAACGTTTGGTTCAAAAACTCAATTTGTTTGGATTACATCAATAAAATAATTTGTTTAGATTCAACACAAAAAAATTTGTTAAATCCAGAAAAAACAAACTTTTCTCTTTCTCTGATATACATGTCAAAATCAACGGCCTGATGATTTATATTTTTTTTAATTGTCGTGAAAAGATGAATCGCGATGCAATTTTAGTCACGCCCTCGAAAGTTCCGCATGCATTTCGCAGATTCGACGCGTTTGTTCGATATCGATCATCGGCCGTCGAGCAAGCAATTGCATCAGTACAATTACATCACAGTCGAGAGAATTTTCGTGCGAACGAGCGCAAACTAGAGGTGCAAACTCGTTCGAGTCGTCCGTCCGGAAACGAGACGCTGACCCTTTGCTCATAAATTCCTTTCCTCGAGAAAGTGCTCGCTCGTGAAACAAAAAGGGAAGCCACGACACACCAAGAAAGAATGGAAAAAAAAAAAAAGGATCTCGACGTGCACACAGGCGAGATTCGAAAGCGCGGTCTTAATTTCGGACGGTGACCTTAATCGGGCGAAGCCGAGTTAAATAAAAATTCGTCGCTATTACAATTCAGCCGAAACGTGCGTTCCGCAAAAAGTTCGTCCTTCGACGATTAACTACCGTGACATACCGTGACTTTTTTCATTAATTATTAAATGATCGCAGCTATTAAACGCGTACGTGACGCTATACGACGTACGTTTACTAGTTTATTTACAACGCGTGACCAATTAGGTTTTATCGTCCAGATGGGCGTATCGCGATTTCGCGCGCGCAAGAGAATTGCGGAACGAATGTCAATGAAGAATCATCCTGTTGCGTCCACTTCAATCGTCGCGATGCGACACGATCGTGAAACGCGACGTGAAACATCCGGCGCGTATGTTATTCGCACGTCGCTGCTAATATGTTCGTTCCATGAGTATCAGAGTGCGTGATTATATATGAATCATCATTTCTACGATCGACAAAGTACACCTAGATGGTTAAGAAATAATAGACAATTGCCGCTCGCGTAGAGCGATTTTTTTTTCTCGCGCGTACACCGAAAAAATTGTATTCTTGTTTTGAGGATATCCCACTTACTTTAAGTATATTTTATGCTAAAATAGGCGCCAAGAAGAGTTTCTTATTTTAAGAGAAAAATCCTCTAAATAGTAATATTGATAAGAATATATACTGATTAGAATATAAAAAGCCTCTATAGAAAAACATATATATATCTCACTATCGAAAAAGACTATATTCTTAAATTAAGAATATATTCTTAAAAATAAAGAATATATTCTTCATTTCAGAAGAATATCATCTAAAATCTTTAAGGAGATTTTTTAAGTATAAAATCTTCTACTTACGAGAATATAATTTTTTCGGTGTAATAACTCCTTGAAAAATTAATTATCGGTGCACCGTTCGTCGAAATAAAACGCACCGTTCGCCCGCTTACGCGCGCGCAAACGATCCGTAACGATCGACCGTTATATTTTCTCTCTTTTCGTGTCCAACAACATATAACTTAACTAGTATAGATTTTAATTTTAGATTTGATAAAAAAAAAACTTCTCCGACGAACGATTTCTGTTAAAATCGATTAAGATCGATAAGTTTTCTGTATTTCTTTTTGCTGATTCTTTTGAAGTCAAAATGAATTTAACATGAGAATTTGATGTAATTATCTCGAAATTCGTGAAATTGTTAAGAAATTTCGAGCCAATGTGTTTTCTTGTGTGTTATTAGGCAATATTGTTATCTCCGATCGGTCTAAATCTCGATATCGATCGCGCTTCTAAATAAACGAGCGTGGCCGACGATATGGGCGTGTTACGCACACGTTTTCCAGTAGCAATTAAAGTAAAAAAACGCCGATGTGAGGAACGCCGATGTGAGTTTGCGCGACTGAAATTGGAAGCGGAGAAATTCACGGATCGGTAAGACACAAAGTCGTAGTACACAAGTCGCAAAAAGATTGAGGGAACGCACGCGGAAGCAGAGAAAGACACGCACAAGACACTCCCGTTTCTCATTCCGTATAGCAATCGAAGCGTATTGTATTCGTAAGAACAAAATTATGATTCAAAGGAATGTGAATTAACTCTGACTTTTTTTCAAAACACAATATAAAATAAACAATAGCGGAATTAAAATATATAATAAGAGTTTATAAACGCAAGATCTTTTTTTTAATGTGTTATTTTTACTAGAAATTTATCAAATATTTGACGTTTTCGTGTCTTTCGTCTCAGAAAATATCAAATCTAACACAAAGAAGAAAAATAAGTTGATAAATAATAGAAGTAGAAAAATAAGTGGATAAATAATAATAATTCTTAAATAAGAATGAAACCGTAAAAGAAAAATTAAAGTGAGTAAAGTTGCTCTAAAATTGGATTATGCAACATATAAATAAATAAAAAACAACAATCGAATCCAATGAACAAGCTCCGGAAGAAAAATCCAAATTGAAACGAACTTTATGAGCCGTGATTCATAAATCGGTAGTGGATCATAAAAAAATAAAAAAAACAAAAACGTTTATTTTCTTCTACTTTTATATTTCCAGAATTTCAGCAAAAAAAAGTGTAACATATTGTATAATAAGAATTATGGAACACAATTAAGCGCGAGAACAAAATTTTGAGATATCACACATATGCAATAACGGAGAAGTGAAAGGAATAAGTCAAAAGAAGTGAAATATGAGAGAAAATTTATAGTCGGTGCAGTTGCAACTATCGCGCCAATCGGAGCAAGATATATATACGTTCGAGAGAGAAAAAGACAAAAGAGAGGGAGAAAAACGAGGGTGTTGCGCGTGCACGTTACGTGCACTTACACTCGCGCGCGCGCGCGCGTGGCCGCGAGTATTAAAGCCGCTCTATTCTCTAATTAAAGTACAACTTAAGTTTCGATTTCTCATATCTCGGACCAGACAGGCCGTTACTCACGTAACCCGTACGGCGCACTTGCGCGTTATATCGTTTGCGAATAACAACGCAAGGCAAAAGGCATCGCCGCGCCGACTGAAAGGAAGGCCTTGCCGAGCGTTAATTAACGATAATTTAATTATCCTGTCGCGATTAAGAGGTTCGCTTGAAATGGTATATATACGTAAAGGCGCGCGAAAATTTATATTTGCACGAATAAATCACCTTGAAAACGAAACGCTTTCCAATTCTACGTATACGAGAACGTATATACCTATACAATATATCGCGCGCTCGATATCTATCGTAAATATCTATTCTCCAAAACTTCATATTTCTGTAATTCGACAGAATTACAGAACACACTGTGATTATTTACGTAACACTGATTTTATTTACGTAAACAATAAAAAATACAAAACTTTCTAGCATTCGATAATTCAGTGTGTATTAAATTGTTTTTGCAAATGTTAAATTAGTTTGCGTGCTATTTTTTGAAACAAATTTATAGAATGACAACTTCACACACCATACGCGTATTTACACACACACATTTTTATTAAAATCAAATCTTGTTTAACACATACATATAAAACTGCGAATTTTTCTCACATATGCGGATTACCGTTTCTACACCAAAAAAAATTGTATTCTTGTTTTGAGGAGATATCCCACTTACTTTAAGTATATTTTATACTAAAATAGGCGCCAAGAAGAGTTTCTTATTTTAAGAGGAAAATCCTCTAAATAGTAATATTGATAAGAATATATACTGATTAGAATATAAAAAGCCTCTGTAGAAAAACATATATATCTCACTATCGAAAAAGACTATATTCTTAAATTAAGAATATATTCTTAATTTCAGAAGAATATCATCTAAAATCTTTAAGAAGATTTTTTAAATATAAAATCTTCTACTTACAAGAATATAATTTTTTCGGTGTGGAAGTATTCAGTATAGACAAACGGAACGACGATTGCTCGATCGCGTTACAGTTTTTACACGCGGCGCGAACGGTGCGTGCGCAGCGCGCATAAAATTTTGCACTCGCCCGCGTATCGCATTTTACACACATATCGCGCGTACTTTTGAAAGCGCGACGCTGAGTTTTCACCGCGCGAATTCTCGCGCAAATCCTTGACGTTCGAAAAATCGAAAGTTTTTTTTCTCTCTACTCTCGTAAAAGCGAGGACCGCCCGCATTTTTCTTCAGACTGCGCGCATCTTCCTATAACCGGGAGGCACGATTTTGTTTCTCTTCGTACGTGCCGACGCGTGCACGACGAGCACACGCATCAAGCGAACAATTAGCCGCGTGTGTGTAATTGAGCCGATCCGAAACGTTCGACGTGCGCGCGCGCGCGCGCGCTCAGCGAAAGCTGGACCCAATTTCTGAATAAAGAATCTTCTTGACATGAATTTGTGGTGAAATTTATTTAACGCAAGGGAAAACCTCGTCGCGCCGTCTCAGAGAGAATATTAAGGCTGCATTATGTTGCAATTTTAAAGCAACACGCCGCGGAGGGAGCGAAACCCCGTTTTTTTCCATACGGTCTTCCATCGCACAAGCAACGGCCACGTTGAATTAACGATTGTAACATTCGAGCAACGAGCATTATTAAACGTAATCGATTATCTGCATGGTTCATATGATACAATATTACACGTTTATATTACATTCCATATATTATGATGTATTACGCTATAAAATTAATAAACGCTTGTCTACGTAAGTTTTTTTTTTTTTTTTTTAAAAGAATTCTTTCTCGAGGCGGCGATACGCACAGATACGCACAAATTAATCAGATTTCGCAATTCTTTCCAGATCATCTCCATCAGACCGAGTCTGCTGAGGAATTTCTGCACTTCTCAAAACCTTGCGACGTGGCTGCCCCTGGTGAAGGACACTCTGCTCCCGATCTTCTTGGCTCTCTTCGACAAGATGTTCTGCCGATACGTCGCCAAGGTGTACACGAAGCAGGATCGCGCGAGGAGATTGTCGCACGGTACGGTTTTCTCGTACGGTCTCTCTTTACGAAACGGGGAGGGCCGAGGAGGAACTATTTCGTCGTTTCATAACCGACGAAGAAACGGGACGCTACGTGATTTCCATTCTTTCGTCGAGCGAACAACACACACTGACCTGTCCGCCGTATCGCGCGCGTGGGAAAGTACAAGACGCCTATCGCGCGGTAATCGTGATTTCTGCCCGGCAATATAAAACCGCTCGCGACAACCGGCAATTTTTCTCGTTACAACGACGCGCGTTCGAGCGATTCGCTCGGCCGCCGTGTTTTCGCTTCGCAATATATTCGCACAGTTGTATTTGCACAGTTCGTTTCGCGTGTTTCCCTCCTCATCACAACCGCTGGAAAAGTTTCTCTATTGGACTTACTTAAAGCGATTTCGAGTTTTCTCGACGCGCGTTTTCTCGACGGCGCGTTTTTTCAATTCAATCCGAATAAATAATCTTATCGAAAAATAAATCTTCTATTATCATATACATATATAATAATTTGATGTTCGAAGCTTGGCAGGAATTTTTATTAATAAATTATTTAAAAAATAAACTTTCTCTTAACAAATAAATAATTCGGTGTTTTCTTCGAGCTTAAAAAAAACTGAAAGAGAAAGTTTCGACTTTGCGAAGAAACAGCGACTTTTAAGAAGAAATAGTATTTTGAATAATTCATCAAGCTGACGTGTTTCATCTTAATTAAGCAAAGTGTTGTATGTTTTTGCGGAAACCTAAGTGTTTTGATGCAAATAAAATATTTTGGGGATTTCTCTTTTTCAGGCGGCATAGACGGCAAATTTCGTCACTTCGAGCAGGACACCGAGTATAAATTGCAGTTGAACCTGAACCACGGACTGAAGTTCCCCCTGACCAACGGAAGCCTCTACGGACGGTTGCACAGCCATCAGAGCAGAGGTGAGCGGGGCGCGAGCGCGAGAGCGGATGTCGATGAGATTTAACGACGCGAGAATGTTACGATCGGCCGATAAGTTCTCTCTCTCTCTCTCTCTCTCTCTCTCTCTCCGTTTCAGTTCCATATTGTTTAATTGCAATGTTTCACGCGGCTTCGTTAAATACGTTCGCCTTTCGACGTTAGAAAGTTCCGAAAAGCGAAATCGTCTGTTGCACTTGTAATCGCATCAACTCCGTCATCGTTTTCCACTGCTCGACGTTGTTGTAACGTGACAAGTCAAACAACCGTTTTGATATTTCCGAAAGCGACGCTTTCACAAATCGCGCATAGATTATTGTAAGATCGCGTCGACGTTAATTAGAAGATCGTTAATCGACGAACGTTCTAAGAAATCATAAGTATTTATTTGCGCGTTACGATTATGGGATTTTTTGTGACGATATATAAATTTCTATTTGCACAATCATTGTTCTCGTGTTTGCAGCGAAGAACGGTACGATCACTATGGGAATCCAGCAACACTATCCCGGCAGCAGAACGCAACCGATGAACGCAACCGACGACGGCAACTACACGTCACTGCCTGCGGAATTGTCGTCCTTTACGAGTTCGACGTTTGAACCGCGTCAGCAAGACAGGATTCCCGAACCGCCGAGAAAGAACTCGGTAGAGCAGCAACAGCAACAGCAGCAGCAGCAGCAGCAACAGCAGCAGCACAGCAGACGGCCACGACCGAACGAGAATCCGCACGAGAACCTGCTCGTCGGCAATCGCCGAAAGATCGGCAGCACCGACGTCTTCGGCCAGAACATGGAGAATCTGGTGCAGCTGGACGATCCCGCATCAAATCATAGAAAATTTCAGGCCAAGAGTCTGGACGAGATTCGCGAGGAACCAATCAGACGACACGCCAGAAGCGTGCTCGGTCTCGAGAATCTGATTGTCGGTTTGGAGAACGGTCTGCAGGAGCAGCCGTTCTATCCCAGAAATGTCCTGCGAAGAAATCAGAGCTTCGACCACGCCAGGTATAAGCCGCCGCTTACTCGGTCGATTCGCCGATTTGTTCTCTCACACTACCTTTTAGCGTACCTTCACTTTTCACCATCGTGCCATTAAAACGCCGTCACGATGCACGCCGCGAGTGTGCAACTGGAAAGTGAGAGAGACGCGCGTTTTTCTTATTAAATTAATCACAAAATGCGAGTTTCGCGCATCATACACGCGAGATGACCTACATCTGTCACGAACGATCTTTTTTTTCATTAGTTTCAATAAATCAGACAAATTAATATTTGTTATCAAATATATATCGTCATTAAAAATGTAGATTTAACAATATTAAACACAACGCAAATTAATAGACGTTATATATTTTTATTTAATTATTAGGTCTACCGGAAAGTTCTGTCCGTTTTTGAAATAAAACAAAATACAAATTTTTCTTATCGTCAATAAACTTTATTAAATAATATAATTGCCATTGTTATTAATGATTTCTTACCAGCGTGAGGGAAAATTTGTATATCCTATTTTTGAAAAATTTAGAAAAATTTGTATTTTGTTTTATTCCAAAAACGGACAGAACTTTCCGATAGACCTAATATTTTTTATCAAATTTATTTTAAATATATAAGTATATATGATATTTTGTTGTTCCAGATATCATCGACCGATGTTCGATGCAAGAACCTATAACTTGAAAAAAGACAATCACTCGGTGAGAGAGACTCTGCAGCAGAGCCTTCATCAAAACCTTCATCAGAGGCAAGATAGCCAAGGTGATGGATATGATAGCTCCGATGACGAGAGTTGCGACCTGGATAACGGCGACTTCGACACTATGAGTTCCTGCAGGAGCAGAAGCAGAAGCTGTTGCTCCGTCACCACGGTCGCCAATGACGATTTTGAATATTTTCAACGCAAAGGAACGAAGGTAACTTTTTTTTTATTAAATTTTACAAGCTGATTTTTTTTTTTTATTAAAGTTTATTTACCGTAAATTTTTTCATCTCATTTGTTTGTCATTTTAAAATTTGTCAAATTTTAAAGAAGAGTGAGAGAAAGAAAATTGGTGTTAAATTAATTGGGTTTTGCAGCATTTTGTATTTTTTGTATTTTTTTTTTTTTTGTTTTTTTGTTGTATTTGCAATTCAATCCAATATTTGTTTGATTTTTATCTTTTCGCTTACTTTCCGTAGAATGACGGATAATAAAATAAATCTCGATAACAAGTCAAGAGATAAACTGGCACATCGATTCTATAGCGTTTAAATGCGAGAAGATAATACGAAGCGAGGCACTTTCACGATGCGAGAAAATGCATCGTCGATGTAGAAAAAAAAAAAAAAAAAAAAAAAAAAAAAATGCCCATCGCTGACGGATCGTTTCATCGGCCTTTTCGCGCGGCGATAAAGGAGCCGCGCGCGTTCGCGGCTTACGTAATTCCGCATCGTGAGAACGCGTCCTGTTTTACAGGTGGAGTTGCTGCCCTCGAAGCGAGTCAGCGAGGTAAAGGTCAACATGCGATCTTTCACGCCGCGTATCATAGAGAACGGTACGGAGGATCGAGAAGAGATCAAGAATTACGTTAGCGGCACAAAGCTGCCGTCTGACACGAAGCCCATTATACATTCCTATCATCTTAAGACCAAAAGAATCGGACCTGGTTACTCGATGAACGATCTGGACAAACTGATCGTCGATAGGAAACTGCCTAACTTCTCGATGGAGAGCCTGAAGAGCATTTTGAAAAATTCGGACGTGAGTTATCTGGATAACGGCGACATATGCAAACACGACATAGGCGGATCGGCGCCGGATTTCAAGAAGATCTTCGTCACCGAGTTCATATGAAACATAAAAAATAGAGCACGTTGATAAAAAAGTTGTAAAAGACTTTTTTATCCGCATTCATTCTCTTGTGATATAGCATGTGTTGACAACGTAGAAAATTTTGCGCTTCGCATGGTCAAAAAAAAAAAAAAAACTTTTCTAATTAGATGCAGAAAATTCGAAAGTTTCCTCCCTCTCGGCGCGAGATTTTATGAAAGTATTTCCGAGTTCATTTTTTCACGACGAGATTCTAAAAAAAAACATGCGTAAACTAGAAAAAATTAGATTTACAACGATCGCATAATCTGTGTTAATTTTATTAGAGAAAAAATGTTATCAATGTTATCAATCAAAAATGTTAAAACCATCTTTAACGCATTTTTTGCGCGAGTTTTCCACGCACAAACCTTCTTCATGTTTGTAATATCAATTCTAAATTTTATATATAACTGTTTGTTTTTATAAGTGTCGCATTTTTGAATTTGTTATTTAAGTATACAGTGATGTTGTTACCGAATTTACAGATGAATGTAAATGAAGAATTTTATCGCAGACGCTCTCGAGCGTCGTGTCTATATATATATATAGTTTTTTTGTAAAACTATTGTAAAATACTTTTGCAAAATACGTAGCAAATTTGTTTCGGATGGGGAGTCAATTATATTAATGTATCTTGTAAATATTTTGTATATTTGTACCGCAAATAATTTAAATATAGCGATTTTGTATACAATTACGCGTGGCTCCGTGACGTGTGTTCATGGCGCGGATGATTTGTTACGGAATGACGAGCGTATTGTATAATTACTTGCAAATATATCTTACTTCTGGGTTTATGCGTAAAGATATAAATTTCCAGCAGTTGTTTGTTTTATTTTCCTTCTTTAAAAATAGAAAATTAATAAAAAACTAATTTTAAAAAACTAAAACTTTCCCGTTGTTATAAATTCCCATCGACCAGACAAGTGTCACTGACCGTGTGGTAATTTAAAAAATAATTATATAACTAGGGTATAATAAATAATATTTTAAGGCTCGTGAAAATTTCAACTAAGGTATATAAGGCCAATACGAGCCGTTCACAGGATGTTGAGCGGAACTTGTACGTGTATACACATATATGTATACACCTATGACAAGTTCACTTGTAAATTTTTACAAGTGAGTCAATTTTTAAATTTTTGAATTTTTAATTCAAAAAACTCTGGCTGATGATGATCTAAAAAATAAAGATCGAAACGTTCCTCTGATCTTCGTATTGGATTCAATTTGATTTTATTTAAGCCACCTCAACCTTGGTTTCTTAGCTGGAAGATCTGTTTCACCATTTCGAATTATATTACGGCTGTTTTTTTGTTTTCAAAAAACTCACTTGTAAAAATTTACAAGTGAACTTGTCATAGGTGTATACATATATATGTATACACTTACAAGTTCCGCTCAACATCCTGTGAACGGCTCGTATTGGCCTTATATACTTAGGGTGTAATAATTTTAAATAATGAAGTATAAAGTATAAACATATAAAGTATTTGTATGTGTGTAAAATTAAGAATCATTTTTAAAACCTAATTTTAAAAATACCTAAAAAATATTGAAAAACTTGTTACGTTTAATATTTACATCTGCGATAAGTATTTCTTTTAATAAACGTTCGGTCATTAGAAACATTTATCTTGTTTCCTCAATTTGTGTGTATGTCACACGCGCACAAGCATCAACAACAAAACGCGGCGCGTTGAGATTTTAAAATAAATATACTGCACTTTTTATTAAACTAATTTTTTTTTTTTTTTTACATCTCATTTCTTCTATCTGTGGAACTTAAAACATTGCTCGTTCCTTTCATCAATTGCGATTGTCTTAATCAACAAACTCCTCGAATTATCGATTCGCTTATAAGAGAATAATTTTTGTTTAGTTTTATAATCTCTCGTACGTTTTATTTTTATTTCACGTATTATTATCACATATGTAGCGCGCGATTGTCAAGCTCGTAGCTGGGCAAGATTGAGCTCATAGCCCAATGTCGCTTATGAGCTCATGCGGTTTAGATTACAGGCACGCCCTCCGTCATCTATCGCGTGAGATAGAAACGCCGCCGCCGGCTCGACGTTCGTCGAGAGTAATCGTCTAATTAAACAATAATCTATCCCGCTCTCTCTCTCGCGAGCGATTTATTTATGCACACATTGACTAGTAGTAATACATGGTTTTGGCATCGTTAATTGTACATCTAACTATTGCATTAAACCAGTGGCGTAGAAACCGCGTTGCGCTCTCGTATTACATTAACCCACATTCGCGAAATCACATGTGTCGTTACGATAATACAATTATGTTCGTCGCGTCGATACAAAGCTTTTTTTTTTTTTTTATCATAACCGAACAGTCGCTTTCCTCAGGTTCTTGCGGTGAAATTTTGTTGTTGTTCGTTTGATTCAAGAAATTAATTATTCCAATTATTGGGGTTGTGCACAATTTTGTCTTGAGGTTATTTATAATTTATGAATATAAGGACATGAAGAGCCGTTCGCAGGATGTTGTGCGTGAATGTGATTAAATATATATATATATATGTATACACATATATATTTCGAAATAATTTTTTTCCTCCATATAGGATGCTGGATTTGCATCACATATATATGAAGGACCCCGTATACTCTCCTAACTAATTTTAAAATATTGCGAAAAAAACTCCTCAGCCAGGAGTCGAACCTGGAATATCTCCGGCTGTCCTTATATCCATATACTATAAAAGACTTATTGAGACTTAGAGTAATCTCTATTTATCACTAATTATTATTTATAATTTGTTCTTATTTTCTTTTTACTTATAGTGTCTGCGCCGTGTTTTCGCTCTTGTTGTTACATAATTTAATTCCGTTTTCGCTTGGAAAAAAAAAATATATACATATATATATATACATCGCGTGTATTAAAATACCCCGCTCGACTTGTTAACACAATTTTGACTTCGCCGTTAATGAAAACGCGCGTGTATCCGCTTCACAAAGCTTCGCTTCAAGACGCGTTTATTTGAGAAGTCCTCCTCATCGAGGATTCTCTTATCTGTAGCACACGCACCTACGATACTCTCGCCTTACGTGTAAACTCACGAGAGTCTCTCCCGGAAGGAGCAAACTTTTTCCTCACACGAATCTAAAAATAGTGCGATCGACGTCGAACTATAATACACAGCCACGTTACTCGCGTCGTCAAACCGCGCTCCTATAAGATCCTATTTTCGAGACGCGTAGTTGCTCAGCGACCTCATTTTAAGTCGAAACATCATCTACTGACGCAAAAAGTAATTATACACACGTACCTATTGCAGATAAAAAAAAAAAAAAACGCAAATCAAAACAATTTTTGCGCAAAGACTATTGTCTATTATAAAAAAAGTAACAGTTCATCTTTTCTAAGTTGTTAATCAATGAGAGAATTAACTTTCAACTCTCCCTATTATAAAAAAAAAATTATCTTCTAATTTATGGCAACTATATAAATCGTTCTTTTACAGACTCGCAACAATGGAACAATAATCTCTTATTTCTATCGGTGTGTTCTCTATTCTGCAAAAGTGTCAATGAATGTTTTTACTTATTCGCTTACGAAGAAACTTTTGAGGAGCTAGTTTTTTCGCGAAAATTGCAAATTCTACGCCATTTACGCGAATTCAAAATACTGGCACTTTGGTACAAAATCGCGTGAAGAGATTCCTGACTTGATATATTGATCGATAATAGATTGATCAATGACTGGCGTAAACGAGATCGCTACCGCGAAATATCGCCTCGATCATGGACTTCCGGTTGAACTCGCCGCCTCGGGACTCTATCGCGGCCACCAGTCGCTGATATCGCTTCCACGCGGTCACCGACGCCGCTTCCTTTTCCGGTCGGTCCTTGATCTTCTTGCACACGTCGCAACCGCTCTCGACCGCAGCTTCGGAAGTCTGGCAGGCCGTCTCCGTATCCGGTATCATCTGCAAAGTCGCGATTGTGAGTGAATCGCGATACTCGTCGTTGGGACTCTCAGTCGGATCGACGGCACGGGAAATTACACCGCGCGAGTTATTTTATTATAATTCTGAGAAAGGTTTGAAAATTAAGTTACTAAGGTTGTTATCTTTTTTTTTTTTTTTTATTAATTTGTGTTGTTATTAGACGAACTAATTTTAAAATATTGCGAAAAAAACTCCAGGAGTCGAACCTGGAATCTCCGACTTTCCGTGCCATCGCCTTTCCTGTTAGGCAACAAACTCCTGGCCGAGGAGTTTTTTTCGCAATATTTTAAAATATTTTAAAATTAGTTCGGGGAGTATTCGGGGTCTCTCATATGTGTGATGCAAATCCAGCATCCCGTATGAATTTAAGAATTGAGATTTCAATTCAAAAAACACTCACTTGTAAAAATTTACAAGTGGAAGTTGTTACATGTGTATATATATTAGGTCTAACGGAAAGTTCTGTCCGTTTTTGGAATAAAACAAAATACAAATTTTTCTTAATTTTTCAAAAATGGGATATACAAATTGCCCTCACGCTGGCAAGAAATCATTAATAATAATGGCAATTATATTATTTAATAAAGT